GAAGCTAGTATCAAAAGAGACCCCGCATCCCACAAGGGAGGAAGCCACAGCAACCCTTGTAAGACTCCTAAACAGAGACCCGTCGCAAGCTGGTGGACTGCTGAAGGGGGAGGGGGGGGGGCGGAGTTCCCCAGAAGGAGTTCCCTCGTACATGCAACACCCGTGGAGTCCACCAGGGGACTCTTAAACCTGGGTTCATCACGCCGGATGCCAAGTGGCTGTACAGAGCCCTGCGCCCTGCGATGCCTCTCCTGCAAAGCTGTGCGCCACATCGGTTTCTTGAGACGAGTCTGGCTATCAGGGAATGCTAAGCTTGTCGGGCGTGTCTTATGGGGAAAGCTTGGAGCACCCTTGCTTGTCCGGCGCAACCGCCTTGACAAGTAAAACAGGCAGACGCAGACTGCCGATGGCTTCGTTCGCCAACCTCATGAAACAAAGTAGTGGGTTTGCAATTTTGACCTCTCCGCGCAAAGTGCTGAGGCTTCATCGGACATCGTCAAGGGATTTCTGGCCTGTGCGGCCACGTTACCCATCAGCGTCTATTGCAGAACTTTTACCCAAACCCACCCACGACATCCTGTGCCATTGGGTGGTTGGCTTCCGTGACACCTGTGACTTTCTTGCTGATATTTCCAAAATCCCCCGATATTGACCCTGGAAAGCCAGGTGGTACTTGTAAATGGGTAGGGGTAGGGTACCTAACGTGTAAGGCTACCATGCAATTGACCCCCCCTCCCCTCACCCGGATTGACGCAAACCTGCTCCCACCCCAAACCTCTCCACCAAGACAATTTGACCAACCCTCCCAATACGCTTCTTGCACCCCAAAAAAGAACTGCTTCATACTAACCCTTGCCCCCTAGAAAAGTCCAACAGCTGCTGTTTATTGCGTACCAGTGCCAATGTTTTTTTTTCAAACCCAAACTATACACGCACTGATTTTGCCTAGTGCAAATGGCTCTGGATAAAATGCGCTTATGGGGTCTGACTACTGGGAACCACCAAGAAAATTTAAGAAACCAGGACACTCTCCAAAACACATCTTTGCTTTGGTGGTTCCATGCGAAACCCGCGAGAAACCCGCGCCGCGCGAAGCGCGGCACGCGGCGCTTGCCTCTCGGTCCGCGGAAGCGTCGCGCGCGGCGAGGCGCCGCAGGGCCCACCGCAGCGCGGAGATCCGCAGCAGCGCCGCCGCCTGCGCGGCTCGCGAGAAAAGGGGGGATGGGGGTGTGGGGGGGGGGGTGTGGGGGGGGGGGGATAGCTGCAGACCCCACGGGCGTCCAAGGGAAGGGCGGGAGCTTTTCTAGGCGTTTCTAGGGCTCGGGTGTTGTAAGTGTTCTGTTCCTGCTCTCTAGGTTTTTTTTTCTGTGTTCTAAGTTTGGAAGTGTTGTCTGGCGTTCTTGGGGGGTCCTTGTGCTAAACAAAGCTGTCGCGGGCTGTGCGTTGGCCAAACCTGCTTTGTTTCCTACACATGCTTCGCAAAACAGGAGCTCTCAGCGGCTTCCGGACTATCTCTGAGAATGGGATGCAACTCTGTTCTCTTATTCTTCGATGCGAAGCTCATACGGAGTTTGGAGGAGTATAGGGTTGGTTTGCTTTGGAGACGTGGCCTCAGTAGAGAGGCTGGCCCGGTGGAAACCTAAGGACATGCAAAGAGCCAAAGCAAACTGGGGGACCAGTCACACCAGCCACATCCAAGATGCTACTCAACTCGAACCTTTGCGACGTCCGGCATCAAAATTTCCCCTGCCCAGCGATTGGATAAACCCAAGCCAACAACAAAAAACGACCGACCGCCCCTGGTCCTCCCATCCCCCCCCCCATCCCGCCATCCAAGGGCTTCTCAAAATGGATTTCGGACCTCTGATTGGTCGGTATGCAAAACCAACCATCAAAGGAGACCATTTCCAACTTTGCAAACACCCCCATGTGGGGTGTTGTGTAAACCCCGTTCTTTTTTGGGCGGCTCTTCTTTTGCTTTCCCTCAACCGCCGCCCGGAAACGGTACCCTCCTGGTCGCTTTGGGCCCGGCGCTGCTGCACCTTTGCGCCGAAGCGCTGCCAGCGCTGCAGGAAAAGGCGCAGGAGGCCTGCGAGCGGAGTTCTCCAACCCCGCGGCAGGACCCGGATTGGGCGGCAGGGGGGATGGGGGGATTGGGCAGCTGCGGGGGAATGGGGGAAATAGAGGGGAAAAGGGGGAATGGGGGAATGGAGGGGGAAAAGGGGGGAAGAGGGGGAATGGGGGGGATGGGGGGATGGGAGGTCCAAGGCGGGGCTTGCCATCAGGTATCAGCTCCCTTGGCTTGGATGTGTCCCAGGTTTGGTTTCCCCATTTGCCCGCAAGGACCGAGGGCTTCAAATCCCCAAACCCAACCAAACAACCAACTAAGGGATTCCCGCCACACCTGAGTGTGTCTCAAATAGGGCCCTTCACATGCCAACCGAAAGGGATCCACCAATTTGAGAAACCCTACATGTTTTTGGAGGGGTGCCCGTTTTGGGGTGGTTCTAAAGGGAGACTAGAAGGAAAGCCACAAGTTTTCGGGGCCCCTAAAAACACCCAGCTATGTGAATGGGTAACCTACCATTGTGCGAAAGACCACCACATGGAGAAAGGGGAAACTGGGTAAGGGGGAACCCCAAATAAGTGGTCAAATGAGGCGTTTGAATGGTGACCACTCACGTACGCATGGAATCCTGCAGGGGCCGCCCCTGTCTACGAGGCCAATGGAATGGCAAGTCGCCAGAATTGCAGAGTCATCACACCTCCTCTCCAAGTGGGGTCAGTGCCAGTTTGGACCATCCAGCCAATCTTTCGATAGAGCGAGGCCAACGGAAATCGCCGCCCACCGAAACTTCTGACAAGTGGCAAGGCCGGAAGCGCCGCCGGTCATTCCTCGGGGCAATGACAGGTGAGTTTGAAAGCTACATGAGATATGGCCAGCCAAGCTGGCCAACCATAGTCTGTGCCGGCTTAACCTCACCTTATCACTGACACATGGCAGGCATGGGGCGTTCTCACCATGTTGCATCAGTTGGCTGGGCAGCGCTTCCACAAACACCGACGGTAGCAACTTGGCCGTCGCGCGGGTGTGCTCCCATTCCCGAAATGTCTCCTCCGACGTGCTGACGTGCAAAGGGTTGAATGGACATGCTCTTCTCGGGCCAAACGTTTCCCTTCGGGCCAAAGACTCTGAAATGCCGCAGGAGAACTCCTCCGGCTTTCGTATTTAAAAAATCCGCCTGATATTGGACAGCGCAGCAGGCCAATCTAAACCCTTTACAGCGCTAACTCCATTGCGCAAGGGCAGCCTACACCATGCAAAATACAACGCCCGCCCCTCGCAGCAATCACACTAACCGATGGATGGCCTGCTCCTTACCACATGAAAGCACAGCTTTGGGGGCACAGTGATCGGTCCGGATGAATACTGCATTTATCTAAAGTCAAACGGGACAGGATGTGGATATCTCAGCGTAGCTCACCCAGCCCGAGTCATCAATTCACTTCGGCTTGTTAGCATTGCCCATTGCACTTGAAAAAGGCAAGGATCACTTGTGTTCCTACGCCTAGCCCGTTAAAAATGAGATTCATCCAAGACAAAAAAAAGGCGGTGTGACTTTCGGGATTCGAAATGTGGTCAATCTCGAGGCTGTGTCAGGATCAGCATGCAAAGATTTGAGCTGACGGCTAACGACCTTTGGCCTCCCGTCACAAAAACTAACAAGTGGATGGTTTCTGAATTGCCCTCGAAACAAGCTCGAACAGTGTCGCCTGGCAAACTATGGCTGTGAGTCAAAAACAGGTACCCAAAATGGAACCCTGGCAAATGGAACCATGGACTAATATCTGCGGTCCCCTGGTTTAATTTTGACCCACAGCCATATGGCCCCGCCGCATGCCCGGGCAAGCGGCCGGCCCGGCGTGTTGGACGCCCAGCGGTGCCAGAAGCGCAGGGAGGAGCGCTGGGTGCGGGCCACTTGCCCTCGCAGCAGCTGAACCTCAAGTGAACCAACCACACTCCTCCGCAAAACCAGGGAAATTGCAGAAGAAATCAAAACACATGGGGTGGGTGGGGGGGCAAAAAATAATGCGGGGGGGGGGGGGGGGGGTTCTTTGTGGGGGGCGGGTTTTGGTCCCTGGCTCGACCTTGAGGACTCCCAAGACCCTCCCCCTAAAAAAACGGAGCCGTAACGCATTTCCCACTGATAGATGCCCACAGGTCCGCTGAAGCCGAACAAACAAACAAAGAAACAAACACGCCGCCAGGTATCGTCGCGGCCTCATTTTTTCAGAAACGGTGACTAGATGCAGCCCCCGGCTCGGCTGAAGCGACCGAACAAGGCTGGCAATGGCCCTCTTAGCTCCGCTTGGTGGCCTGGTGGGTCGAAGAGGGATAGCCACTTTGCAAGCCCTGACGGCCCGGGACGTCTATATACACTGGCAGTGACCTGTGCTTCCAGCGTCACCGGCTCTCGCCCAGCTCTAGAGAAACATGCCACCTCATCGCAGCTGCACCTTGAACGCAAATAAGGCAACTGACAAACACGAAGCAAGCCTCGGTTCCCCTAATCAGCTCTCCCAATTTGAAGGGGTTTGCATGCAGAGGTTGTTGCAACAGCATGGGGCAGACTCAATGCTAGAATTTTCATGGCTGTAGTCCATAGGTTGGTTAGATGACCACGCTGGCGCATTCAGCGCCTCCAAAGATAGAAACCCCCCGAGAATCAAACACTCTCGTGCGGTCAGCAGGGACAAGGAACAGCCAAAATTGATTGCAAGGAGGGTCCAGAAAACCAGTGAAAGCCCTAGCCAACCGAAAGACAAGCGTGAACATGGGTCAGTTGCATATGGTGATGGCATTGACCTGCCATCCTTCCGTGTACTCCACACCCAACAAGCAAGCAAACAAGCACTGCCGCTTCAAGTGCCGCGCAACCATCAATGGTAAACACCGGGAAGCTGAAAATGGATGAAATGAGTACAGACCGTTTCAATTGGCTGCATCTGAAGGTGCTGCTGCAAGGCTTCGCGGGAATTTTCATTCTGTCGGCCGCTCAAATTGGGAAATCTGGTGCTCAGCATGCCAGTAGTACTGCTTCCCCGTGCTGCGTGAAGTCACCACTTCCCATCCAGGCGGCAGCCTGAGCTGGATGCAGAAGGGTTGCATGGGTTGTTGTTGGGGGTGGTGATCATGTGGTGGTAGTGCTCAACTACTCTTTTGGCTACCGTTTCTTCTGTTGCACTTCTGTTCTTGGTGTCTGGGCTTCTTTATCGCATCGGCCTGCGTGCCTGCTCACCAGGAACGGCTTCTTTGCCGCCAAACAGGTCTCTGTCCATTGAGGTCCCTTCGCTATCGGTATGAGTGAAGAATTCGTGGGAGCACAGCGCAGCACCCACACTGCACATGGCTTATCAGAATTTGTCACGGGTTTCATTCATCCCAACTGGTGCAGGCGAGGTATCCATCCAGAGTAGCTATGGATTCACATGTCTGTTTATTGCAATGCCCAAGTTTGAGTAAGGCGCTCATCGCTGATCGGCGAGGTAAAGGTCGATTCGCCAGTGGGTAGGTTCACATAGTAGATGCCTTGGCTGACTGGGTGACAAATTGCCCAAGTTTTGGGCTGTGCCAAGAGTGCCAATTTTCACAAGTCTGATTTCCTGGCGTTCCGAGACCTTTCCAGAAAGAGAAGCCACTCACCAGCGCACGCGTCAAAAATCAGCTGACCCCTGTGCCTGGCCATGGCTCTCAATGCAGCACACTTGCCTGAAGGACTTGGAAACGAAAGCTGCAACTTTTAGAACCTTGGCCAAAAATCATTCAACATTGGAAAACACAAGGTCAAAACACCGATTCGCTTTGGCACAGCTTGGACCAGTGAGACGAGTGAGCCTGAGAATTCGGGTTGGTCCCCATGGGAGAACCCTCCAAATGGGCGGTTCTTTGTTGGCCTCTCATTGAACCACCCTACAAAGGCTGTCTGCCCACATCCAGACGGGGTCTCTCAAGAAATGGACATGGACTCACAAGCTAAGGAACTTAGTTGACCTCGTTACCCAGCGAAGGAACGCCTTCAAGTGCAACCTCCAAATGCCTGCCCACTTTGCCTTGGCCCACATGTGTGGCACACAGCAAATAATAATTCAGATTTGAGGTCATATCTAGTCTAATCAGTTGGGACCTGACTAATATCCCGCGTCCCCCTGATTGATACCAATCATCAGCAGTCACTAAAGACCACATAGAATGAAATTCTCCATATATGGACCCCCAATTTTGGGATCTCTTTCAACGGGCCCATAAACCATGGCCCAAAAAAATTTGGCGCTCCTGTTTGACCGCCCCCCCCCCCCCCCCCGGTTTGGAGCGCCGGGCCGCTGCCGGAGCTCTTGGAGGGCACCCGGATCCAGCCGCTCGGCAGCTTCGGGAGCTCCGAGAACTGGTCTTGGCGCTGCGCCCAGAAGAGGAGGCCTTGGAGCGCCGAACACCTCGTGGCCCACTCGGGAACTGAGGCCCAACACATCAGCTGCTCAGGCAAGGAGGCCTCCAATACCGAACCCGGAGGGCAAGCTGGGCTGCCTCATGATTGCCAAAAACATCCGCTGGCCGAAAAAAGTGGAAGCAAACATGGTGAATCCTCGGATCAAAGAAGCTTAACAAAGAACTCCCGTAGTACTGGAACTAATTGTTAGCTCTCTTGAAGAATGCATGCACCTGCACGTGAAGTTTAGCCTGCATGCGCTGCAATTGAAAAAAGGTAGGAAAAAGCTAGAAGACACGTCAACTGGGGAATACTAGCGGGCCGAAAGCATGGAGCCATATGTGCGCAAACCACCTCGGCCGCGACGCCCGACGGAGAAGCGAGGTGTGCTTGATAGGCTTTTATTGGTGAAAGCTCTGTGCACGTGTGGCGTGCTCGAACCTGAAAAACTCGTGTTTTTGTATGAGAGAAAGAAAAGAGAGAAACAGAAAGGGAAAGAGAAAGAGAACGAGAGGGCGAGAGGAAGCGAAAAAAGCAGCAAAGAAAGAGACGAAACAAGGGAAAGAAACGAGCTACCCCCGGTTCCGCTGGCTGTATTGGTGCTGTAGGCCCCGGTGGCAATACGTGAACAGGTCTTCCACCTGGCTTCAGGGATGTTGGATCCAACTGAACAGCTGAGATGCTTTTGTCGCTCTCATCAGGGTCCTCCTTCACGCGCTTCATAGCCTGTTCCTCAGGCTCTTGCTTCACCTGCAAGCCGGATGAAGGAGCAGTTCCTTCTTGTTCTGGCAGGATTCCTTTAAGGATACATCCAGATATCACCTGCTTTTACATGGGGATCCCCTAAACCAGCTTGCAAGAGTACTTTTTTGACTGGCCTCAAATGTCTTTTCAGGGACCCTGTCTTGGGTCACACACCAAACTGGCTCAAGCAATGCGTGCGACTCTGGTGTGTGCGTTCAACAGAGCATATGTCAACGGCGAGTGTGTGGAATCGCTCAGCTCAACTGAGTGGCAGGACTCTGTTCAAACCGGCTGATTCCCAAGCCGGAAGCCTGCATCACGGGATTCAGTTGTGGGACGCAGGCTGTCAGGGTGCATTTCGATTTGACACTTTTGGAGGTCACTATGGTCACCCTGGGAATCCGCCTACCCGCATCCCAAATCCAGACGACCATCCCTCCAGCCTCCAACGTGTCGCAGGGAACCCGATCAAAGTAGGTCCAGTGGACCATGGAACACAAATGGGCCAATACATGCATGCTTGATACCATACCTTGGTTGCACATATACGTATATATAATATATGGTGGTTGTTCTAAATTCCTGTGTCTCGAAACGGCCATTCATCGCGAATAAAAAAGTTACTTTCGCGAATCTTTCGCGGATTCATCGCCGTGCCCTTTTCATTGCTCAATTCAGAAAATCGCAGCTTTTAAGTGCCAGCGTAGTGCGCGAAATTCGATTCCCCGACTCCAGCTGCAAAGTCGCAGCTTTTCATCACAAGGGCCACAAGGGTAGTACATGACATGCACTGGATGGAAAGACGCAGCTTTTCGTAAGCCGTGCAGCTCCTGCTTGAAGTCTCAACTTTCCAGTACCGAGCTAGTATACTGACTAGCGCCGCGCTCAGAAAGTACCTCCCCTTACAATCGAAGCCTGCGCTTTCGCGCGGGCTTTCGCGGATCTTTCGCGGAACTTTCGCGAAAAATCACCCACGTTTCAGAGCGGAAAGCACCGACTGAACACCCACAGGCACACATACACAGGCTGGGGGCACGAACCAGCCAAGCAGGGTATCAAGCTGTAGCCTCACCAGGCTTTATCAGCGCAAAATCAACAAAGTGGTTTAATCAGCTTAGAAGGAAGGCTCACCAGCAAAGATGAATGGTTTCCAATACCACTGATTTGCAAGACACAGCTACGCAAAACTTTCGCGAGAAAAAAAGTTACTTTCGCAACTCCATCGCGAATCTTTCGCGGAGCTACCTCAACCAACACCGATGGTCACCGAATACTAAACTCCTTACAAGGACCTTTAGAACGACTCCCATATACATATGTATAGACACAGGTGTCATCGTCCATGGCGCCCCGAAGCTTGCAAACCAGACATGTCAACCTGGCAGGTCGAAACAGGTGGCAAAGAATGTATCCGGGCAATGTGTAACAAAGCCTCTCGGCCAGCTTTCAAGACTTCTGCGATCTTCTGCATGTGTTTCTTCCTGAAAGGAAAACCCGGCCAGATTGATTTGGCAGTAACGGGCCACGACAGTCTCGTCGGCCTCCAAGCCAGCGCGGTGCCGCTTTGCACGCCAGGAGAGCGAGTTGTTCTTCTGAGAGGGGGGCGGTGGCAGCTGTTGGTTGTGCCAGGGCGCCTGCACATCGAGTGGAACAGCTTGGTCCCCCTTGGTGTGCATGGCTGGGGGGGGGGGGGAGCATCCCATATTATTGATACCGAAATGAGCAGCAAATGTGACGACGCATTCCCGCATGCATATGCGAGGCCATGTCGGCCAGCCTCCTCTCAAGCCATTCCTTTACGGCACTCACCACTGCAGAGTTGCCGCCCGAAAGCAGGCGCAATGGAGGCTTGAAGCGGAGCACTAACTAGTTTTCGAGCCTTGGCCAGATCCCGCAGAATAGACATCCGAACTGGCAAAGGGGCAACAGGGCGGATCAAGCGTAGCTCGCCCAGCCAGAGAAACAAAATAAGTTGCCAAACGCGCCGAGCGGAAACTTAACGCCATCGCCATTCCAAGGCGGGCCATCAACATGGCCGGCTAAACCCGCACGAACGGGCTTTGAGAGGGCAAAAAACCCAAATTCGTTTGAGGGCAGAAGAAAAGCTGCTTCCTTACCACAGCATGAGCCCACGTTTGGGCGCCATAACTTGACCGAATCGACATGATGGGCCCCGGGCAAAGGGCTATCTGTTTGTCCCCGCTTCACTGCCTGCCCCTGGCTCCCCTCCCATATCCATTTGCTGCAACTTGTGGTTGGTTCGGAGGGGCCTATGAAACCTTTGCTCAATTGGGTGTGGCTCAAAATTAACCAGGAGGGGTTGCGCAGGTGTTGGTCCATGTTTCCACTTGCCAGGGTTCCATTTTGGTACCGGCTTTTTGAGCCACAGCCAATTGGCACCTGGCACCTGGCCCTCCCGCTCACCGCGCCTTCGAGAGCTCGCTGGGACTGGTCGTGCCGCTCGGGTCCGGGCTGGGCTCGCTGGGCTCGTTCGGCGATGTCTGAGATGCAATGCACAGGGGTGTCACAAATGCAGGGAGGCGTCACGCAAGAACGCGGATGGCTGCTCAAACAATCCCATTCCCTCCCCCCAAAACAGAAAGGGATATAAATGGATCATGTGTTCGATTCCTTCAGGCAAGTAGCCACTTAGATTGTTCAATGGGTAATTGAGATTCAAGGCGTATCGGCATTGGCATCCTGGCATCTCATAGGCTCAATGGGTTTTTGTCAGCTAAAAAACACAGAGTCACACACTTCTGTTCTAGCTTGTTTGCTTCCGTGATCGGTCATTGCAAGGCTGGTGGACCGGCAAGAGCTCCGAATGTGGGCCCGCACTCTTCTAGAAGCACGCGCAAACTTGGAATTCCAATGAGGGCCTTGGCGCAGCAACAGAAAGCTG